GTCGCTTTCGTCAATTTGTCACAGCAATACGTTGCATGTAAAACCTGCTACCGGTTTATGACATACTAGTCGTCTTTTTCATCCTCCACATTAACAACAATAAATAGCGGCAGGCACCAGGGAGACGGTGCGATCATGTGGTTTGCGCAGTCCGTCCAGCGAACCTGCTAAGGATTTTTACTTCTTTGCACTTTGGTCTGTGTAAAAATGATGAAATATTGTCTGCTTCTTAAGTTGCGAAATTTCACACTAAAACCTCGGACGGAAAAAAAAACATCCTTCCATTTTCCGATTTTCGAGTGACTTTCGATCAAAACTTCTACGTGATCGCATGTGAGACGCTGACAAACTTGAGAACTAAATTTGAGTTTGTGAGGTCCATATATAGGCAGAAAACATCCTCCTGAAATTTTCAGCCTACTGCCTCTTTTGGCTTCTGGATGATAATCTTCCCGCCAAAACCTTTGCGGGGACGTTGAGACCCAGGCGTGCGCGAAATCCGAATTTGAATTTGCGGAGTCGTACGTAGGCAGGGGATTGTACCCTAAAATTTCAGCTTTCCAACTTTCTTGTTTCTCAAGACAGTAATTTTCCCCGCCAAAACTTTCACAGGGTAGTAGGTGATACGCAGACGTAGGGGAAAGCTGAATTTAAAGTCATGAAGTTGTACTTGAGCAGGAGACATTAATGTAAAATTCCACCTTCCTAGCTTTTGTAGTTCGCGAGATAATAATTTTCTCCGTCAAAACTTTCACGGGGCTTTTAATGATACACGAGAGCGCGAAGAGCTGAATTTAAATCTGCGGGTCACAGCTGGGCAAGGAACATTACCCTTAATTCTGTGGTTCCCGAGTCGGAAGTTGCGGACAAGATGCATCGGACACACATACAGACAACTCCGTGACAATATGCGTCTTGTACACAGCGCAAAACGCATAAAAATGAAAAATTGAGATTCTCTTTTTACAGTATAAAGATACAGCAGCAGAAAAGCAAGAAGGACTACAGAAAGAGAGCAGACCACGCAACTTCAACTATTTAATGTGAAGAAAATGCCAGTGTGACAAGGTAAATACAAAAGAAATGTGTGCGTTTCATCCCGAAACGGGCCCTGCCTGAGATGAAACTTCAGCAACTGCATCCGCGCAAGTCAGACACTACTGGGGTATAAAACTCCCATAAAACAATCTCATTTGTATTTCTCATTATATTATGCCATAGGGTACTACATACGGCACTGGGTAAAACTTAGAAATCTCAGTTTAACAAAGAACTCATCGCAGAAATTTTCCACCACTACAGCTGAAATCGAAAAACACCTTTCTGTCCTTTGAATAAAATTACAAATCACGAGGAGCCGCGCGGAAATAACGAACGGACACCTTCGGCAGGCAATGGGCGTCGCGCGTCCATGCACAAAAACCTGATGCATTCCAACAGAGCGCATCAACCGACTGCTTATGCATTTTCGAATTGAACTGCACCCGTTACGCTTCGGATTCCTTCCAGAATTATCTTTTTCTCTGCTGCAATTATTACAGCGAATTAACACCCTTTTCCTCAATATTTTACTTTCCATTTTAAGTTAAATAATTGTAATACCTGAACACAAAATCACGATTCCACATTACTTTAATTTATCTCAAAATCATGATTTTAAACTTTTTTTAAAACTCGATTATGATTTAGAAAACAATTTTTAATTTCTTTAATTTCACGAAGTATATATTCCGGGCTACGCTATTGTGTCTATCGACATATAAGTTAGAAAGCCAGCGCGGACACCTGCTAGCGATATGATCAGGTGTTTCGGGCTCTAACCGGCACATTCAAATTGACTGCCGTATATTACAATTACTGCAATAACAACGGCTCCAGAAGTCATAGAAATGGATAAGAAATTTTGTAGCGATTACTGGATATCTTGTTTTACAGTCACCTGAGCATACGAGCTTGCAAGTGACACTCATTATCAGGATGCCGATGCTGCTTCAAAATCTGCCAGTGTAAGAACAATTTCTCTCTCAAACAATAAATCCTGATATACCTAACATAAGACGAAGTCAGGAACCACCCTT